ATCAGAGCCCCCCTATTACGTCAGACTCACTTCTTCACATCAAAGCCAAACATCAGACCAATGGTGACATCCCGTTTTTACTGCAGGAGAAGGAAGGTTGTAACTGAACCCCCTGGACATCCAATGGACCCCGGGCCCCTGCCTATGTTGCCTTATGGATGATCCAACCCAAAAACATTTCCACAAGGTTTCCTTTTGATGAGCGAGGAGTATACATTGTATCAGGCGCAGCGTCTTCCTCGTGACCCCCATCCCCGCCATCACACTCCTCTGACAGCCGGATGGCCGCTGGACCAAATGGGAAACCCAGGTTCTAAAGAAGCAACAATGTCAGTTATAAAGTCTTGGCTTTCCGAGTGCCGGCCTGGCATCGCTGTACGTGAGGGGCCCGCGGCAGGAACAAAGTCAGCATTTGTTAGACAGCCGGGGGCCCGGGAGTGATGTCACCGCCATCTCCAGAAGGTTCCGTCCGCGCAATCCGTCACGGAGCTCTCTAGATGCTTCCGGAAATGAATGCGTGACAATAACACGTTTCCATGTTCAATAAACTGCGTTTCCATTCTGAGGTTTTCGGTTTAGAAGTTCCTCCAAAATAAACAGCCAACATGAGATCTGAACATGTCTCTATCATTGGCGGGTGTCCTGGAGTCCTGCTCCCTGGCACGTATATGCCCGCAGAGCCAAAAGCCGGAATAAAGTGGCCCTGGTGGGTTATACACTATATTACCAAAAGTATTGGGACGCCTTTACACGCACATGAACTTGAATGGCATCCCAGTCTCAGTCCGTAGGATTCAGTATTGAGTTGGCTCCGCCCATTGCCGCTATAACAGCTTCCACTCTTCTGGGAAGGCGTCCACAAGCTTTAGGGGTGTGTCTATGGGAATGTTGGACCATTTGTGAGGTCAGGTACTGATGTTGGGGGAGGGGCTCGCAGTCTCCGCTCTAATTCATCCCAAAGGTGTTCTATGGGGTTGAGGTCAGGACTCTGTGCAGGCCAGTCACGTTCCTCCACCCCAAACTCCCCCATCCATGTCTTTATGGACTTTGCTTTGCGCACTGGTGTGCAGCCATGTTGAGACAGGAAGGGGCCGCCCCCAAACTCCTCCCACAAAGTTGGGAGCATGATATTGTCCAAAATGTCTTGGTGTGCTGATGCCTTAAGAGTTCCCTTCACTGGAACTAAGGGGCGGAGCCCAACCCCTGAAATAATCCCCCCTCCACCAAACTTTACACTTGGCACAATGCAGTCAGGCAAGTACCGTTCTCCTGGCAACCGCCAAACCCAGACACGCCCATCGGATTGCCAGACAGAGAAGCGTGATTGGTCACTCCAGAGAACACGTCTCCACTTCTCTAGAGTCCAGTGGCGGCGTGCTTTACACCACGGCATCCCACGCTTTGCATTGCCCTTGGTGATGTAAGGCTTGGATGTGGCTGCTCGGCCACGGAAACCCATTCCATGACGCTCTCTATGCACTGTTGTTGTGCCAATCGGAAGGCCACACGAAGTTTGGAGGTCTGTAGCTATTGGCTCTGCAGACAGTTGGTGACTTCTGCACACTGTGCGCTTCAGCATGCGCTGACCCCCCTCTGTCATTCTACGTGGCCGACCACTTCCTGGCTGAGTTGCTGTTGTTCCCAGTTGCTTCCACTATGTTATAATACCAGTAACAGGTGACCGCGGAATATTTAGTAGCAAGGAAAACACATGTGTTTCACGGAACACCTGAATCCAATGATTTGGAGGGGGAGGGGCCCAATACTTTTGTTAATATAGTGTATGCATGGCAGCTGCCAGTGGAGGAAGAGGAAAAAAATGGATGGCTGCACTGTGGAGAAAGCTTGATTCATCTGGGAAACGCGTTTCACCTACAAGGCTGGGCTGAAACGCATCAGTGGAGCACTCTCTGTTCATGTTGTCCAGATGAATAAAGTTACCAGCACATGAAAGTCTCCAAGTGCTGCCAATCTTTTCCCTTTGGTTTGCTTCAACATGTGGGGCGTAGGACGAGTCCCTGCTGGTGTTTAACACCCGATCAGATGAGGGTGACCAGATTCAGGGATTGGAAGCAGCGCACTCTACCCTTTAGCCAAGGTGCTTTTAGAAGCTGCTTATTGACTGACCGTCATGCTGATCCCTCTTCTTCACCACTTACAAGTATATAGCCAGCAGAGTAGCAATTCCCAACATGTGACTGGGGAGTGAAGCCGGGGAATTGGCATGCCACCCACAGACAACCGCCACCATCTATAATGCACAGCGACAGCTCAGTCACCTGCCCCATCCATTCGCGTATATGAGTCGCTGGATACACACAGGACACTCACCCAATCCGAGCGGTCCAAGACTGCTGGGGCGAGGGGTAGGCAGAAGTGGAGGCCACCTTGGGCACTTCACCAAAATAAGGGGCATTAAAAGGGCAGTGCCTGCAACCTATCCTGCTGAAACAGTTCACAACCTATAGAGGGGTATGTGTACACTTTGCCATTTTGCCTTGGGTGCCAATGGACCTGGTACTGGCACTGGACCAGGATCACCAAATAATCCCAGCAGGAAGAAGAAGCAACCAGGACTCAAATGTCTTCACTGCGCTGACATCTGCAAATTTGTTTCATCCTTATTAAAGCCAGGGAAGGGTCATAACAGATAAGGTGAACCCTGAAAGTGGCATGAGGGGCCTCTAGGTGGAGCTGAGGAGCGCAGGAAATACTTATTCCCTATGCTCCTCAGCTCCATCTAGTGGCTATAATAAATACTTATTCCCCTATGCTCCTCAGCGCCATCTAGTGGCCATAATACATATTCTCTATGCTCCTCAGCTCCATCTAGTGGCCATAATAAATACTTATTCTCTATGCTCCTCAGCGCCATCCAGTGGCCATAATAAATACTTATTCCCCTATGCTCCTCAGCTTCATCTCGTGGCCATAATAAATACTTATTCCCTATGCTCCTCAGCGCCATGTAGTGGCCATAATAAATACTTATCCCCTATGCTCCTCAGCTCCATCTAGTGGCCATAATAAATACTTATCCCCTATGCTCCTGACAAAGCGAGCAATTAACCCTTACAGCACAGAGGTAAGGATTGAGTGCTCGTTTTGCTCTAGGGGTGAAAATAAAGAAGAAATATACTCACACAATCCTCGGTCCTGTTTGGCTGCTAGACCAGTCCCCACAGCCTGTTCTCCCCCCCGGACTCCAGCAGTCTAAGGACCCATGACATCATCACATCTACTGCAGGTCTATTAGATGTGAGGATGCCGAGCGGAGGAGGAGAGAGGCGAGGGGTCACTGCTGCAGGATCGAAGATTAGCGGAGTATATCCTCTTTATTTATTTTACCACTGCAAGGGTTAATTTCTAAAAAGCCTGGAGTTCCCCTTTAAGATTGTTTGTTGTGTTATTATTTGCACTGAATGAACGTTCACATTCCTAAGGCGAATTGTTTATAAATAGGCCCACAAGTGTGATGCTGACGGGCTCTGATGACTGAGATACTGAAATATGTTCAGACTGTTACTATATATACATTGTATCATCATAATTGTGACAACAATATCAAACGCACACTGACCTGGATGTAGAAGGTTCTCGGAGCGGTAATAATTTCATACAGATTGTCCCTCATCAGTAAATCTCTGGAAGTAAAAACAAAAGTAACTGATTCCAATCCCTGAGATCCAATTATTTCCACAATAATACAATATACTGAACACAAATGTGTAATGAAAATGGTGATCTACCCAACTGGCCCCCTTCACATCAGAGTCCCCCCCTTCACATCAGAGTCCCCCATCACATCAGAGTCCCCCCCTTCACATCAGAGTCCCCCCCTTCACATCATAATCTCTCCCTTCACATCAGAGTCCTCCCTTTACATCAGAGTCTCACCATCACATCAGAGTTCTCCCTTCATATCATAAAGTCCCCCCTTCACATCAGAGTCCTCTATTCACATCAGAGTCAACGCTTCACATCAGAGTCTCCCCCTTCACATCAGAGTCTCCCCCTTCACATCAGAGTCCTCCCTTTACATCAGAGTCTCACCATCACATCAGAGTTCTCCCTTCATATCATAATCTCTCCCTTCACATCAGAGTCATCCCTTCACATCAGAGTCCTCCCTTCACATCAGAGTCCCCCCCTTCACATCATAATCTCTCCTTTTACATCATAATCTCTCCCTTCACATCATAATCTCTCCTTTTACATCATAATCTCTCCCTTCACATCAGAGTCCTCCCTTCACATCAGAGTCCTCCCTTCACATCAATGCAGAATAATACTATTATTCTGCATTGCTGTATTGCTGGGATTTGTAGTCCTCTATAGCCGGTGCCATTCTGCATTGCTATCTATCCATCTATCTGGAATGTGTATTGTAGAACTCTTCGGCTCCTTTGCAGCGCATGCTGTATCAGAGGCCTACAAGTAGAAGTAGAACATAATCACTAAGCTGTGGAACTTGCTCAGTAACTCTGATGCGGAGATATCTTCATTCTTGTGGTCAGATGTGATGACACTTCTTAGAATCCAGGCCAGGGCTCCGTGTGACTCTAGACGTGACTTCACTGACACAGGAAGTAATTATGACGTTCCGGTAATTACATGTACCGGCTGATGTGTGATGGCCGGGAAGACGCTGGAGAGGGATGACTGGGCGAGTGCGGGAACAGGGACTGGACAGTGTCAGTATGTTCTGTGTTCTATGTCCACCACGCTTCCACGCCTCGCGTCAGCCTGACTCTGGGGAGCGGCTATGTTTCCCCCGACCTTCCCACGAATAATAATAAGCTCACCGAATAAGTTGTAAAAGCAAAAACAGTGACTCTCCGGGTCCATATAGACCCTACATTGGTCCACCTCAATGAAGGGGTAAATTTGCACCCTGAAGGGTCAGTCCTTCACTAATACTCCTATGCCTGTGTCCTATCTAGTGATGGGTGGAACAGGTCAGGGTTCCGTTCGAATTCCAACTTTAGAACATCCAAAAAGTTTGAATTCGAACTCCCAACTCAATGCAAGTCTATGGGGGTAGAACTTTCAAAAACAACTGATATGCAATTTATTGGTCATAAAAGGTGTATTGGGATCCGGGTACTGCCCTGGGGGACAGGGCAACACCGAGCCCAACCCTAGTCCTATCTCCCCCTGCACATGTGTGCTATACTCTTCTCATTGGACATTCATTAGGTGCCATTTGCACTTTGAGCCACATTGCATTGTACGATTAGACTTGAAACATTGAAATTTTGTTTCCACAACTTTTTGAATACATTTTGACACTGGTACAGATGATAATTGTAATGTATATACATTGTACACATCCGGTATAGGACACACATAACTAGCACCCAGTAACATGTATTTATCTTCTGTGTTCTGCACATTTAACTTGAAGCCCAGCAGTATTTTTATTTTATTACTATTTCTTAGGGGTGTGTTCAGGGCCGGATTTCCCACAAGGCCAACCAAGGCCTGGCCTTGGGGAAGCAGCGCGTAGGGGGACAGCAGGGGTGTGGAATTCCTATCTCCTGATGCCCGTGACATGCAATTCCGGGCAGGTAGTTGTTTTTCTTTTCAGAGAGCCTTTTGCTCTGCAAACATCTGACTTATACATAAGCACCGCATTAATTTGGCCACTAGGTGGAGCCGAGGAGTATAAGTACCACATCCCCTCACTCTGTGTGCTTTAGGTTTCTTTCTAGAATGAGCCATTACATACCCGGTGACCCGGCCAGTTCCCAGCGCTTCCATACTGAGGGTGGCAACCGATGCCAAGTCTGCAGTTATTATAGTGAGGAAGCTGTACACTTCCTCTTTTCCCCCCCCATCTAGCTACCCCATGTGACACTCCTGAATGCCTTGCAGGGCATCGCCAACAGATTAATTGGCAATGGCTCCTCCAGGGAGCGTCGCTGTCGGATTTTGCACGCAGCAAAGGATGGGAATGTGAGATGGTCGCGTCACACCACGTCTCTCGGCTCTGCCCATTGATTGTTCATTGCAGTGCAGAGTAACATGGGGAACATTGTGTGACCACAACATAGAAGAGACCAAAATAAATATTTTTTATTCATCCCTGGAAAGGCCATGGAGATCCTATAAAACACTGTAGTAGCCAAGCTAATACACAGTCCTTCAATGATCTTCCAGGTTTGGAACAGCCGCTGCGCTGAGTGAAACCCCATCTGCTCTGAAAACACAGGAGGACACTCGCTCAACACAGCGGCTATTTAGCTAATACCTAGTATTTGTCTCAAATCACCGCCACTCACCCAATCAGAGAACACCTTGTACTCATTCATAAAAGTACTAGGTGTTGGCTGAAATGGCCACTGAGCCGAGCAAGGGCCCCTTGTGTTATCAGAACAGAGAGGAAGCCGGTCAGCACAATGCCCACCGCTCCAAGCTCACTCCCATGATGGGCTACAATCTCAATACAAATTAGTAAACTAAATGTGAGATTGTAGTCCATCCCGGGAGTGATCTTGGAGCTGTGATTACTTTACAACACACACAGGGACCATGGGGAACAGACGTAGCCCCCCCTCCAGAAGGAAGGACAGTGTCGGCACCAATTCAGAGATGATTGGAGGATCTACAGCCGAGTGATACACAAATGAGATACATTGTTGTTAATAATGATAAGGCGGGGTATTGGTGATCAAGCAAAAACTAATGTATTTTTAAGATTTAGTTTAAGAAGAGTTTAGTGTTAAAGGAGTACTATGGGGTTAAGGCTTTTCCCCATAGTTCTCCTTAGGGTAACGGGAGGACACAAACTAGCGTCCTCCTGTCACACTAAGGCTACAGCTACTGCTCGCGGTATACTAAGACGCCGCAGCTGAAGCGGATCCCGTGTTGTCATTTTTTTTAATCCACACTTTACACCACTAGGGGGCGCGCCTATGTAAATTATAGTCAATCTTGAGCCCTGGAGAAGTCAGAGGACTTGGAAACTCGCAGAGACATCTGAAGCTGATGGGGATGTTAAAGCTTTTAACATCATTTTCTTTACAGATAATTTGTGTAATACTATAGCAGAGGAAACTGAAAACAACTGCACTCCAGTAAAACATTCGGGACTAAAGCACTCCGCCGTGCTGCATTAAAACACACGCACTAATGTGCACTGCATTAAGACAATCAACGTGCCACAAAAAAAAA